ACATGTTAAATTCTATTTTTCATAGACACAATGTTACTATAGAATCTCACAGATTGTATTTCATTTATGCCTAGTTTTTAAAATAAGAAACATGCATATTGTTTATTATAATTAATGAGATTACAATAGGAAAATAGCAGTTCTTAATGTGATCTGTATGTGTTAATATTACCTTAATGTGTATATATATAAAATGTCTGTGCTAAATAACTAATAGAACTTTTAGTATAATAAATGTACGAATTTAAATCATATTGTTATTATTATATTTGTTTAAGAATAAATATCCGGGAAATGTTTTTTTTTATGTGAAATATTGTATCTTTTTGTTTTATATTTTAGATGATTACATTAAATAAATATACATTTCTAAGTGCCTTTGTCCCTCTGCAAAAAAAAATAAATAAATGAATTTGCTTTGAAATAATTGTTTGTGTGTGATAGTTTATTTGAAGATATTCTTGAAAGTGTTTCTATTTTATAAATATAACAATAAAATATGAATCAAATGTTGTATCCCTTGCTTAACCCTTAAAGTGCGAGAGGAAGACACTGAATCATTTTTTATTCCATCTGAATAAATTGTTCAAACAAGTCGAATCGTTATCACTGATAGCCTCTTGTTTCTTTCGTAAAGTCGTCCATCTAATGTTGCCCCTTTGAATGCAGATTAATAGACACATTGCGCAATTATGCTTTTGCCTTTTAAGCGAGAAGCAAATGAAGTTTGGTATTATCTCATCGCCTTTGGCGTTAACAATTGCAGATGTCTATAGATTTTCAGACGTGTAAGTGGCTCATATTAAATTTAAGAATAGCACAAGAGGCACAGTGCTGAGCCAATCTGCTTGCCAACTTCGTTTCCAGAGAAGTCAATCAACTAACATCTTATCTGCCCTTATCCGTCTTAATGTTGGGATAGGCTCTGCAATGTTTTTAGAATGAGACATTATTTTCATATTAAAATATGTATATATATAGAAAAGAAATGAACACTTTTTTTAATTTCTCTATATTAATTTAAAAAATAATAATTTTAACACCTTGTCTGGTTCTCTTTTTTTCATTTTCTCCATCCTTCAATAAGCTGTGATCCCCATCAATGAAGACAATAAGGAACCCCCCGACTTAGTCCATGGAGTGATGCAGAAGGCAGACCTACCTTGTTGTTCTTCCAGGATCCGAGTGATATCCCATGCTGGGCTGCTGTGATGTGACTGGAATGGAGGGGATTTTCCTGGAAGGAAGGAGCATGAAGCGAAGCTACTTAAACTTCATGACTACACAAGAGGTTGGTGTCAACGCATATCCTCAAACCTTTTAATTGCTGCACGGATCTGGCTCTTTCCAAGCCTCGATCTGCAGTACATGTCGATATTTATTATATACTTAAACACGCTGGCTTTAACTGCTGCCAATTTCTATACTCTCCTATCATCCCTTTATTTATACTAGAACTCTATATAGGCTATATAAATACACAAAACACACATATATAACATAAATACACAAATACATACATCCACAGCTAAAATAATTCCATGTGTATTTTATTTGACTGACCTCTAAAAGATTGACCTTGTAGACATACGGCTGAATATCCCTAATTACTTGAACTTGTGTGTTTTTTATGGTTCTAAAGACTGTTTAAAAATCCAAAAAGCTAAAAATGTAGAAGTAAAAAATAAGACTAATCCTCAGTGTAATTTAACCCAAATGGCATGTTGTTCACCAAGTCTGATGATGCTCTATTGGGGTTCTGTTTGATAAGAATAGGATTCTAAAATAAAGTGACACATTTTCCTTTCTTGCTCAGTGGTGGTAGTTACACCGAGTCCTGGCCCTGTATGTGTTTGAAGGAGAGCTGCCCCAGACAGAATGTGACATTATTAGAGTACAATTCTGTCTGTACCAGGTCCAGAGCAAGCCTGCTTCTTAAAGTCTTTAAAAGTCCATTGTTTCGCTAGAACAAAATTCTGAAGAACATAGATTGAGGTCAGAATTATTATGTAACAATAATCGTAAATAAAATATATAAGAAGAAAAATGTGTGTCTTACTTGGCAAATTAATTTCCTTTCAGATGATGGCAGACCCACAAGGAGGCAGAGACACGCATCATGCAATTCATTAGCACTCCCCACCCTTTTTTAGCTCTTCACTAGAATTCTCAGTTCTGCATAAAGACAAGCAGAACAGGGTGAAAAGCTGGAAGAAACAACAAAATGAGAGTGGCAGAAAAGCACATGCCAAGGCAATGAAGGGCGCTGCCTCATGGGCTCTCACCATCCAGAAAAAAATAATAATTTGTCAATTAAGACACACATTTTGTTTTTTCAAGGGATGGTTAGAGGCCACAGATTATGACATACAGAATTTCATATCCATAATGAGCAGGACATGAAGCCGCTTTAAAATGTTGGGTGGCATGTGGTACTGACTTGGCAGGAACAACTGCCCACAGCAAACAAAATATCAAAACAACATTTTGCAAATGTGTCCTAGGATGACTAGGTTGCTAAGAGGCTATCATGCAAATATGGTCCATAGAAGCTTTATTGTGAAAGGCCCATAAGAAAGCCACTGCATGAGTGTAGAAGGTAATGTACCTGTCCATAGGAAGGCTTGTTAACCAGGACATAATTCTTCCACATCATGGACTTAAGCTAGTTAGCGAGAGAGAAGACCTAAGCTTAATGACCGAAAATGAGCAAACAAGGAAGAATATTTCCTAAAAGGCATAATGGCCTCAACATAATAACTGAGAGTGCAAATGACATCCAAATTATGCAGAAATCTTTCCTTGTCATTTAGAGGCAGAGGATAAACCATCATGGCTAATATTAGGGGAGGAGACCACCTTTGGCAAAAAGGAATAATCCGTTCTCAGGTCTACTGGATCTTCATGAACACCCAACAGAGATGACTCTCAAGAGAGAGATGAAAGTTCAGAAACCCTCTTGGCACAGAGAAAGTGCTTGAAGTAACATGTAATCATGGCCACCACTTAATATAATATAGGTAATATAGGGATCAAAGTGAATAAGCAGATCACATGGATGTCCCAAAGCATGTCCCAAGGCATCTACAGAGGTCACAACCAAGTCCCTGCTTTTGGTGTAATATACTTGGAGCTGAATATGCAGATAAGAGGCTTTAGGTGACCACAGCACTAAACTAGCTGGAAATTGAACTGTAGATGGACATACCCTCACATGGATAAATAGCCTAGAGATTCTCCTGTTCTTATTTGTTAACACCAGGAATGTGAATAGCTGTCAGTGTCAATGTCAGGTTTTTGCTCATTGTAGGACCTCATGGCAGCAGCATTCTGCATCCTCTGTTTGAGATTGACATAGGCATAATTGTGATGTAGCCCAACTGAAGAACCAACATAATTCTCTGGATGGAATTCTGGCTAATCCATGAAAGCCGAGTAATTCACTCTGAGCTCAAGAACATAGACAAACCTGAGCAGTTTGTGACTCCCAGATATCTGCATATCATAACAATCGACCATTTAAGTCACCTTAAAATATATTCCTGGGTCATGGATGGATGGGAAATTCACTAACTAAGGCAGTCTTTTGTGGGTAACTGCAGCAGATGTGAGAGATCTTTGGAATGCCAATTCCACTGGAGGAGAAAAGACCATGGAAAGGGATGGAAGTGGAACCTTGCAAATTAAATATAAATGAAATATGAGGACACCACCTAAAAAATTCAGTGCAATCCACCACCAAAGGCTTATGCAGAGCAAGAAGCTTAGAGAAAACAGTTGGAAAGTTTCTCTAGCTGAACCTCCAGAAAGAACAACTTCATCTCCAGATAATCCAGTAAAAAAAAGCAGGATGCTCTTGGGAATGTTGATACACCACCAGGTTTGGGTGCCACAGAAAGCTGAAAGGAAGCAGCAGCATTAGAAGAGCACTGAGACATGCTAATGCATAGAAATTGACCTGATGAGTACCAGAAAAGTACCTAGAGGAACCTGTTTGCCAGCTTTAGTGATAGGACACAATACAATCAAAGTCTTATCCTGATTGTATATGGTTGGACTCAAAAAGACTAAATCACATAACAAGAACATGACTACAGACAATGCAATAATGAACCATAAAGATTTAAGATCTAGTGATAAACATTGCTTACAAAGCTAAATGTTAACTCATTTCATGATAGTTGTCATATAACTCATGATGGCCATTAGTTAAAATGCCATTCTTGCAACATTTTGCAAACCATGCAATTAGTTTAAACCTCATTACTGAAGTATCACAGAAATAGCAGTCTGGAGGTACCAAAAGACAAGCAATCATGGGGACAGTAGCACCATTATGAGGCACTGTGAGGCATGTGGCAAGACCTTTATTAATAAGGACACGTCTGCTGGCTGTGGCTATCTTAGGTGTTCTTGCTGTTACTGGACACAGTGGTGGAATTAAAGTACAAAAGGCCCTGGTGCAAGAATTTTTGGGCCCCCTATATAACAAGGGTGGCCAAAAGGTACATCTGTCGTACAAATCCAGCAATGCTTTGACAGCTGGGGCTCTACCATTTCCCAAGATTGCAGGTTGTATTTATCAATGAGCAATGTGCACGTGTGTTTGAATACAAGCATGTTTTTGTATTGAGTATGTTTGTGTGAATGTATGGGTGTGTTTGTATGTAGTGTTGGCATTTGAATGTAAGCATACATTTATGTGTGGTGGTTTTTGAATGCAGTGGTGTGATTATATATAATTTTGGTGTTTAATACAGAGGTGTGTTTGTACGCAGTGTTGACGTCTCAATGCAGGGGTTTGTTTATATGTGGTGTTGACATTTGAAAGCAGGGGTGTATTTGTGTGCAGTGTTTGAATGCTGAAATGTATGCACATATACACATACTACAGATACACATTCTGACACACATGCAGATACACATACTGACACACACATACACACACTGACATACAGATATACCGACACACACACACACACACACACACACAGACATTCAGATACACACACAGACACACATGCAGGTTAAATTTACACTTTTACAGCTACCATGAAGTTCCCTACATTTAGGTGCAGGAGGGTGGCTTCCCTGGGGTCCAGTGTGCTGGCTAAGGCTGTCGGGAATTAGGGGGTGGCTTAAATAAATGACAGCTAACTAAGAGACAACTCTTCAAGTGATATCCAACCTGTAATATAACTAAGTCATACTAAGTAAACATTCAGACATGATATGTAAACATTTATAATATAAGGAGTAAAAGCAGTGGCTGGATTCTTGTAAAGAAGAAAAGCCTCACCAAATGGATAGGCACTGACAGTCTGAAGGTATATTATCATATGATTGCCTATTATGCAAGATGAAGCCTGGCGAAATACAAGGTCTGAATACTCGCATTACTAGATAGCTATAAATATGAGACATATTGTTGCTGAGATGAAATAAAATATACTTTACTGTGACTGTGTCCTTATGACTTTTATTGATCCATACAGTTTAAAATAAACTGATACACCAGTAGTGGACCTATACCCTCTTATCAGATCTACAGCTACAAAGTAGCAGAAACCAATAACTAAATGAATGTGAATGATCAACTCTCATAACATACAATAAATAGATAGCCTTATGCTCAAAACACAATGCATAGTATATTGTTATCTATATAAGGTTAAAGAGAACTGATCTAGAGGAATGGGCCTACGAGTATAAGCTTTTGGATCTATAAAGTTCTGTAATTTCAAGTAAAAAATAACCAAACTACAATTTGACCCCAAATTTGAATACTACTTCACTATGGAATGCCCATAAAGCTTATTAAGAGGACATTTAATTCAAAGGGCATCATACCTGAAGAAAATTTGATCTAAAAATTTGAAAGAGTTAGAAAATGAATTATATAAATTGAATCTGGCAAATAAATCTGACCCTTCTTTATTCCTAGCTGCAAACATTTCTGAGGACAAAGCAAAACTTAATACTTTGCAGTTGGAGCATACTGCTCTGATGTTGAGGAGACTGAAACAAGTCTTTTATTCACAAGGAAATAAGGCCTCCTCATTGTTGGCCTCTAAGTTGCGACATAGGCTGTCATAGTGCAGAATTGAACATAGTGCAGAATTGAACATATATTGAATGATGATGGTGTAAAAATTACCAATCCCGTTATAATTAGTAATACATTTGCAAACTACTATAAAAAAAACTATATAATTTGGCTTTACACCCTGATTTAACATATCAGACAAGATTCGTTCATTTTTGGACAAAGTCCCTTTGAGACAGATTTTGGCTGACAAATTGAATACTCATGACTTACCTATTTCATTAGATGACGTGTTAAATGCCATTAAAACAATACCTATTAGTAAAGCTCCAGGACCTGACGGTTTCACCATGTCATACTATAGGTCCTTTTTAGGCATTTTAACCACGTGGACTACAGGTGAAATGCCTGTGAAAGTCTTGTGCGCACAGATTGTAACTCTGCCTAAACTGGGTAAAGCTCAGAATGTTCTTCAAAATTTTCGTTTCATATCCCTAATTAATAATGACACAAAAATGTACTCAAAAATATTGTCTCTCAGACTTGCGCAAATTCTCCCTTTATGATAATAATAGATAAAGCCCAGGAGGGCTTTGTTTTAAACCGTCAGACCTCGGACAGCACAAGAAGATACATAAATTTGATTCACCGAATTAAAAACTCTACAGAATGCCTTCTCCGCTTCTCTCTTTAGATGCAGAGAAGACATTTGACAGAATCCATTGGAACATTTTAAAGGAGGTTATGTCGCCATTAAGTTTACCGGAACCCTTCATCAGAGCCGTGTTTGCTCAATATTGTCCTCCAATGGCAAAGGTCTCAGCTACAGGATTTCTTTCTGATAGTTTTGCATTGTCGAATGGGACCAGACAGGGGTGTCCGTTGTCACCGCTCCTTTTTATGATGGCAATGGAACCCTCGTCTGAAATGGTACGCAATTGCATGGAGAGAGGGTATTGCAGTTGGGGGTAAAGAACATAAAATTGGTCTTTTTGCAGATGACATTATGCTGTCTTTGAGAAATCCAATGTCCTCGATTTTCCTCTAATGTTAATTCTGCAGGAATTCGGCAAAATTTCATGTTATAAGTTGAACACTGGTAAAACTCAAGCCCTTGCTTTCTTTGTCTCATGATTTGAAATGGATACTCTAAAAGATAATTTCAATTTGACTGGAGGGACTCATACATTTCTCATCTAGGTATCAACTTGTAACAGAGCTCCCTGTACCACGGCTGGGTACCTCTGCCAAGGACTGCTTCCTTGCTGAAACAGGGGACAAACGGCAGCACTTCTGCCTACAGTTGCTGTGGCTTGACTGGGGCCCTGGAACCGCTCCTTCCTGGAGCTGAATAGGGAATCTGCTCTAGACACCCCTAGGCACTGGACGACACTCAGTCCGGGAGCTCTAGTCCTTACAAGGACTTTCCCCGTTGAATCTCCTGCAAGCTGAAACAGCAGACACAGAAGTAAATCTTCTTTCCCTCCAATAACAAGAGGACACACAGTTTTGGCCAGTTGTGGCTTTAATGGCAGCCACAACTGCCCTTATATGCATGTCCCCATGCAAGGGGCACTCCCTCCTGGACCTTGTGGAGGACTGCAGCAGAAAGTCACAGACCAATGATAAAGGTGTTTAAATACATGACACTCCCATTTACAAGCATACAATCCCTCCCCTCTCCCTGGGAGATAATTGGATCAGTAACTGTACTAATTCTAATACAATTATCTCCAAGCACAGAAAAAACATATTTTTTCAAAACATCCTAAAATGACCCTAAAAATACATAAAACCCCACAAATGTTACATCCCCTGATAGCCTGATTTGGGTGACCAACATATCCAAAAATCACCCAGATCAGTTCAGGGGTCCAGGAATTTCCTGGAAGTCATTTATTTGACCGACCGCAGGCATGGTCCCATGCCCAAAACCGTTCCAGAGAATCAGGGCCTGTAGTTGGACTAGTTCTATAGTTTGAAAATGAGCAAACAACTGAACAGAGTCTTACCCTGGAACTTGTTCCCCTCATCCAGACGAATGATTTCACCGAACAGTGCTCTTCTAAGTTGTATATAAACAAACGCATGCAATGATGGAAGTCCAGCAATTCGGGAGTTTCTCTATCCGATTTTAGTTCCATGAGATTCATGCCCAAACAAGGCTGCTTACGTTCATGTGAACAAGATGGCCGCCACCTCGTGGTTGTCCATAGGAATTGTGGCCACCCAGACGAACAATTAGAACACTGTGGTGAGAAAAATTCCAAGTTGTTAGTAGGTGTTAACAAGCTCCAGGGTGTTCTCTGGTTCATGCAGTTGTTCGGTAACTAAACCATATAATCCCAATTGCATGAACAGAGTCTTTTTAACATTATATTTCATGTCCATAGTCTGTGGGCAGGAGGCTGGCAAGCAGGCTCCTCCAGAAGCTCGCTGCAAACGCATGTAAAAATGGGAGTTTGTCACACAACTTATGCGAGATGAATGATAGTAACTTGGGTAACTTTTGGACTGCATTTAGGAAAGACTTGGAGAGGTGGTGTGATCTAGAAATCTCCAAGATAGGTAGAATAAATTCAATTTATATGAATGTACTCATTACAAGCCTTTAAGTACAACCAGATCAGGGGCTATGTGGGCACTCTCCCGAGAGGGCAAGCCTGCGTAAGAGACCCAAACTTTTTTGAAAAACATATGTATGGCTTCGGACCCCTTCGGTCATGGGGTATCTTTCCTATACGCCATGCTACAAATCCAAACCCACGCGGAACACCCACAAAGATTTGCTGGAAGCTCGGGCCATAGTGGCAAGCAACAAGAACAAAGCAACGCTAGTTGCAGAACTAAGGCAGAGTGACAGAGCGACTGACAAGTCTCCCCCTCACGACCCAGCTTTCCTATTGCAACACCACACTAGGACCCCTAAGTCAGTGTACAAGAAATCCATCACAATCAGGATCCTGAACATTGCTAAATAAATCATTCCCCAATTTTAGAGGTAACCAACCAACCCTGGGCCTGTGGTTCTCCCAGATGGAGGAGCTCAGGGCAGTGGAAGAATTACACATGACTGCTGCTGGGAAATCCAAGACATATCTAGGAATATGGACACACTGGTTGCTGACCACAGCCAAGGAAGACTTCGCTCACATCTTAGGACCAGACTGGCATAACTGACAATGAAAGACTGACCTGACCACCCCCCCTTTTTCCTGACCCCCACTTTCCCATTCTTCTATACCCCTCTTTCTGTCCCCCTTTTCACCAGGACCTCTGCCACTGGCATTTCATGGCTACCTCCCATGGGCAGCACCTATGGTACAGGCTCAGGTAGCTGGTGGATGCGCTTAAGGGGGCAGATCCAACCTGTTATGACAGGCAAGGACAGAGATTTGTTTCCCCCGGAGGAATGTGGGCTTGGAGCACCTGAGGTAGCCAGTGGTATGAGACAGATGCTTTACACACACATGAGACATGAATAAAATGTTGAAATGCATATTATGGCATTCAAGATATGCATCGCATCAGTTATTGTTATCTCTGCCCGTCCCTCAGGGTAATAGGGGCCCCAGAGCCCCAGTGTATGACCGCTCTAAAATACCCTCCTTAACTGGACAAAGTCATAATTCTATTGATAGGGACCAGCGCATCCTACGGTACACTGGTTCTGCCACACCATTTGTGAGGAAACAAGCCGGGATTTCGTGGTTTTCTCTGAACATTCATTTATTTTACCTCATTCGTTTATTTTATGCAACCTTTGTTCGGTAGATTAAAACTACCGAACACCGACCACCCTCCTGGCTCATTGACTTCAAAGGAGCTCGTCAATTAAGCGTTCTCTCAGGGTGGCCATCTTGTTTGTTCGGACAAAGACAGCGGGACTGGGTTGTCGAGTGTCTGGAACTAAAATCGGACAGTTGACTTCCCGAACACTGGATCTTCATTTCACGAACAGCTAGGAGAGTGCTGTTTGGTACTTTGGTGCATTCGTATGAGGGGAACAATCGCTCCTATGAGCCAGGAGGCTCCATTCGTGGATTATTTCGTTATTTGACATTGTCAAAATTGACCGACCACACACACTGAATTCGTGGAACTATTTTGGGCAGGAGCCTCGTGTGCAGTTGGTAACTTAAGACTTCCCCACTTTTT